GTCACCACCCTCCAGCTCTGGGAGAGCCCAAATCCGTAAGTCAGAAGAGAAACCACCTGTGGTTACAAAGATAGGGTAGTTTATTGACGTTATATTACTAGATTTTAAAGGCAAAAATACAGTTTTCGTCTTTTGTTTTTAACACCAAGGTCAGACACCCCCCCCCATCACAATGGTATATACACACATTTGCATACACAGGAAATCAAAATACACAGCAAAACAGGCCTTGAGGATGTGAACGCTGTTGTCTGACTGTGAGGGCACTGCATGCCCCTCTCAAATGTCAGCAGAGACCCTGCCCTTGCTGAGACCCAGCACCAGCACTTCCTTCACCCTCCTGTGCCACGTCTGCCCTCTGATCTCTCCCAAAGGCCACTTCAAAACAGGGTCACCAGCAACAGGCTGGACGGGGGCAGAGAAAGGCACAGCACAGACAACTTCAACGGTACGGCTCCCAAGTGAAGGAAATGTTCCCTGCACCACAGCCCTGTAATCCCCTGGTGGAAATAAGACCTGCATCTCATGGATGTGCGCTGTGAGCCAGGGGTGGGGGGGTGGGGGGAGGGCAGGAGAGCACCTGTAGATCAGCAAACGGCGGTGGGGGAGGGGAACAAGTGAAGCCGTATTTTCCCTGGTTCTGAGAATGAACCACACACTTGACTATTCCCATTGAACATGAAGGAAAATTAACAGAAAAAGGAAAGAAAGAAAAAGGAAAAGTCAGAATTTTGTTTTAAGAGTAAAGTTACAAAGACGTTACCATACTGGGCATTCTTTCTTTTAAGGCACTTGGGAAAAGTCGGAACCTGGGCACAGAAAAAGGGGTCTTCATTCTTTTTATTTCCCCAAATTCCCTCTTAGTGCACTCATTCCTAGATTTAATATGAAGGAGCAGGGAACAACAGAAATACTCTTCACATAGCCCAGCTGCTTCTGCAGTAGAAAGTACTTTTTTAACCAATACAAAGCCTTCTGGAAAAAGAACCAAGTTAGCATCTGAGACGCTCAAAGCAATAAAGGCACAGGTAAGTCGGGATCGGGCACCAGCTCAGCCTCCACAGTGAGGGCTGGTGCCCAGGGGCAGTGGTGGGGGTACCCAACCCTGGGATGAGGCCTGCTGAGTTTGATGATCTGAGGTGAGCCTGGGCCTGGAGAGGGTGCTCAGTGGTAGGAACTGCCTCATGCCATCTTGTCCCAGGCAGCTCGACATCATCTCCCAGAAGAGGTGGGTTTGGGGAAGGCATCCCTATGGGTTAGCCTGACTTGAGTGAGGCTGCTCACCAGAGCACCTGCTAAAAACTTGAGGGGCAAGGAGAGGCTTTAGGCACCAGAATTCTTGTGACAAAGTTGGGAGTGGGTTCAGCCGAACTTCTTTCTAGATCTCTAATTAAAAGGCACATTCACACTGGAGAATGAATAGTCTGTTTAACCCTGAGTGCCACAAGCAAGTTTTAGGGAATAGGCAAGAGGCAAAGGAACGAAAAGGGAAAGGAAGGAAGGAGAAAGGCAGGGGAAGAAAAGAGGGAGGAAGCCGAACGGGGCAATTCGGGGTGGGGGCGGGGGGTGGGCAGGAGCCTCTGAGGGAGGCGGCCCCTAGCCTCCTCTTGCACCAGGATTTGAAGGTCCCCTCAGCCTGCCCTCCAGGGAGGCACTAAGGGTTGGTAAACCTGATTGCTGTTATTTACAACTCCACAGCCATGGGCCCTGAGGGGAGGCCCGGGGTCAGTATAAGGAGGTTGAAGTTCTCTCCACCCTGCCCACCAGAGGAGGGCAGAAGCTCTGCCCAGCAGGCCTACTGCCCCAGGTCACAGACTCCCTGCCCTAGAGGTTTGACAGGATAGAGCTGATAGGGAGGCCTTGCCCTCATTAAGGGACCAAAGGTTGCTCTTCATATAACCTGGCCCGCCAGCTAAATCGAAGGCCCATTCATGGCCACCACAGCATACATTACTTTTTTCCCCAAAAAATGCTCAATCCCCTCCCCACATTTAAACACCACAATAAAAATACAAAGGATATTCAAGTTTACATAGCATGCTCAGAAAAATAAATTGTCATAACCTAACATTAATCAGCTATGCAACTTTGGATCAACACAAAATCAAGCTAGGTCATAATTAGAACCTGATTTGTTCTTTCTTTAAAATGCTACAAACTGCTGATGAAAACAAAAAAAACCTTTACATTCAGAAATTAGACAATCCGGAAATAGGCCACTGAAGGCGAAAACACCCAAGCCTTTTGCTCTGATGGCTAAAGTTGCCTTGGAATTCACACTTTAGCAGGACAAAAGGTCTAAGGCTCAAGTTTTAAAATTCTTTTGCTAAGAAAAGACACACACAGTGATTGTAACAGTTGCATACCGCTGAAAGAAGGTGTGTGGAAAGAGGAGGCTAAAAAGAGAATCATTGAAATTGTGTGTGTGTTTTTGTTGTTGTTGCTAAAATATGACAACTAAAAAAATATCTGCCAGTTCAATTTCAGCAACATGCTCCAATCTTTCATGAAGTAATAAGAACACCACAACCCACAATTTAAAGCAAAATTCTTACCTTTTTCATAATAATTTAGCAGTTTTATGGTTGGGAATGAGTCCCAGTCGCCAAATTTTTGGCGGTGTACAGTTCTGACTCTTAGGGGCGACATTGTGAGCATGATGAGAAGCCCCCAAATCTGACAGTTTCTACAAACACCATGTAGAGATAAGAAGTCACATGCCGAGGCAAGTTGGGGGCAAAATATCTCACTCGTCCTGGTCATCTGGAAAGACATCGGAATGATGAGTGAGGGAAGCCTATCACTCTGATTGGTAAAAATGAGAGCAGGACCAGCCCAGGGGACTGGCAGGGACACAGCAGAAGTCCCTGGCCGTTTTCAAGTCTCTTATTAGTGTATCAAAATGCTAGCTTGGCTTCCCAATGTCCACTGTGATTTTGGTATACAACGGGTATCTCTGAGTGTCCAACACCTTGTAGGTGAGTGTGTTCAAACCATCCAAGCGCATTGTCTCCTTCGTGTGTGCGATTCGGTCAAACCTACCGGATAAGGAGAAAAAGGTAAAGGGGATGGGGTCAAAACAAAGCCATTAAACGCTTGCATTTAATTCCCTACCCTTCTCCTCTTCCCTTCCTTCCCATGGACTGAACCCTCCATTTCTCTCGAGCCTCATTCCCTCAGCCTGCCCCATCCTCTAGGGGGAAGAAGGCTATGAAAAGACCCAGAACACACCTCTGAGGATTGGGTTCATTTTTTCTGTCTCTTGAGTGGCGGATCATCCGACACTTTCCAACCACAGCATTTGGGCGAGATACAGACATGCCTTTAAAAACTAATCTGCAAAGAGTAAAGGAACAAGTCATGACCATAGAGCTGCCACAAGGCTTAGATCCAATAGCCTGGCTGCAAGATTATTCTCAGGCCCAGCGGGCCCCACCCACCGTCCTTCTTACTCTTCTCGCTGGGCCCATATTCCAGCCATCATGCCAGGACCCAGCCCAATGCAGCACTGGCTAGAACTCACGCTGCTTCCCCATGTCCTTTTACCACTAGTTCTACAATTAGTGTTAAAAAAAAAAAAGTTGCCACTGAATCAGTTCCAACTCACAGCGACCCTGTAAGGACAGGGTAGAACTGCCCCATAAGGTTTCCTAGGCTGTAAATCTTTACGGAAGCAGAATGCCACATCTTTCTCTCGTGAAGCGACTGGTGGGTTCAAACCGCCGACCTTTCGGTTAGCTGCTGATTGCTTAACCATTCACAATAAGAGTTAGACACTTTATCTTTGAAGAAAGTTTCTCCACACACCACCACCCCTCCTTCTAGTCCCACCACCTTAGGGTGCCAGCGCTCGGCGTGCCCTCCCTCTCCACCCTGTAGGTATTGAAGATGGTCTTTAGGAAAATTAAAGACCTGACTGGTCACATCTGCGCTGTCATAACAGCCCTGTATACTGCCACATGGGAGTCCCTGGGTGGTACAAATGGTTAGGTATTCAACTACCAGCTGAAAGGCTGGCAGTTCGAACCCACCCAGAGGCTCCTCGGAAGACACGCCTGGCTATCTGCTTCTGAAAGGTCACAGCCTTGAAAACCCTAAGAAGCAGTTCTATTCTGTACACACGGGGTCGCCATTAGTCAGAATTGACTCTACAGCAACCAGTGACGACAACAACACTACCACCATCTGAGTCCACAGCATTTGCCCAGGTGTGGTTATCTACAAAAGTTGGTTTGTTTCTGGTTGGACCCCATGTCCGGCTCATCGTGTCCTCCCCACTGAGCCTACCTGGCACAGTGCTCTGTTCAGTAAGTTCACACTTGATAACCAATCTGCACACTCAAAAACTCAAGTCTTCCTCAAGGTTAATATTAAAGGCTCAGGTCTGTCAAGTTCTCATGCATTGTTAAGCTTGGATGACTTGGGCTGCTGCCCTGACAGAAACTGTCTTAGTCATCTAGTGCTGCTATAACAGAAATACCACAAGTGGATGGCTTTAACAAAGAGAAGTTTATTCCCTCACAGTAAAGTAGGCTAAAAGTCCAAATTCAGAGCATCAGCTCCAGAGGAAGGCTTTCTCTCTATCGGCCTTCTCATCAATGTTTCCCTGGACTAGGAGTTTCTCCATGTAGGGACCTCAGGTCCAAAGGATGTGCTCTGCTCCTGACACTGGTTTCTTGGTGGTATGAGGTCCTCCTGTCTCTCTGCTCAAGTCTCTCTTTTAAATCTCAAGAGATTGCCTCAAAACACAATCCAATCTTGCAGATTGAGTCCTGCCTCACTAACACAACTGCCGCCCATCCTCCCTCATTAACATCATAGAGGCAGGATCTACAACATATAGGAAAATCACACAAATTGATACACATATTTTTTGGGGGGACATAATTCAATCCATGACAGAACCCTTTTGTTAATTGATCAAATAAATGTACTCCAATTCAAGATGGCTGCACCAGGGTGTATTCTGATATCAGACTCAGTGACAGGTTCAGACTGGCTCCCAGAGGGAGAAGGTGGTTTTACCTGCAGCTGGCCGAGTTGAAGCCTCCACTGGAGACTACCTTAGATTCTGTAATGAATTTAAGGTAACCTATCTGTAATATACGGAGCCCTGGTGGCGCAGTGATTAAGCACTTGGCTGCTAACTGAAAGGTCTGCGATTCGAACCTACCAGCCGCTCAGTGGGAGAAAGATGCGACAGTCTGCTCTTGTAAAGAGTACAGCCTTTGAAACCCTGTGGGGTAATTCTACTCTACCCAATAGGGTCGCTATGAGTCAGAATCGACTTGACGGCAACAGGTTTGGCTTTTGGATTTATCTGTAACGTGGTTTCAAATGCCAGTGATGGATGGTTTTTTACCATCTACAACGGCAACCTATGTGATTAAGGTTTACTGTCTTAACAAGAGCCCAGGGGTGTGGATGGGGCCGTGGAGTAATGATTGTTGGAGTCCGGTGGGTACACAGAGGTTCATTATGCTACTTTGTCCTCTTTTGTGTATGCTAAAAATTCTCCAAAATAAAAAAGTGGCCTAAGGATTCTGTGAAGAAACTTAGGAATCTGCCCAAAGAAATTTGTTTCACACTGAAATGGGACCACAATGAGATGCTGAATTTTTGCAAAAGACACGTCTACTCCCTCAGTACAAAAATGGCATCTTGTACAGTCAAAGTAAACTCACTCCTTCGCTTGGTTAAATATTTTACCTTTTCCAAGGCTAATCCAAAAATCTCAGAAGCTAATTTTCCTAAAGACCATCTTCAACACCTACAGGAGGATATGCCTAAGAACTTGGGCTGAATGGGGACTGCATCCCTTCTGAGGGCCAACCCTTGCAGAATAACCAAACACTGATCCAAAATTTGGGAGTGAAGGAAGACAGGGAGGGAAAGATCTGAGTAGTGACCATTACCTGTTAAAAATGTCGTCATCTTCGCCTCCCCAGCCCCAATAATTATTAGGAAATCCATTGATGGTGAGAAACTGTTGTTTACTTAGAGCAGAGACACCTCCAAAATACTGAACATAAGGTAGGCTGGGGAAAAACACACACACACAAAGGACCAGTGGTTAGCAGGTTTTGGCATTCCCAAAATAAAACTTGCTGGAAATCTAAACAATTATAGTATTCTTTATTCTCTGGGGGAGTTTTTGATAAGGGATTTAGGAGGGGTTTATTTTGTTTTTATAGCAGGACTCAGATTATCTTAGAGAAAACACAGACATCAAAGTGGAGTCTTTATCTTTCCAAGAATGCAGGGCTGCTTCTGTTGTCATCTAGAAAATTAAGTCAGTGGCAAGAGCGGGAGAAGCCTAGCTCTTCCTCACTGGCTCAGGAAATCTGCTCTCCATGGCACTGCTTCCCCTGTGTCCTGCTCTTGTAAAGGAAGTTCTTAGCCAGGGCATCCTGGAATCTGAGATTGTTTTAGAAAGTCTCTGAAAATCATCTTGTGCCCACCTCTCATGCCCCCTCCCATCCCATCTACTAGCCTAGTTTTCATCTTTCAAAAGGTGTACAGTGTGAACACCAAGCCTTAGAGTAGCATTTCTGAAAATATGCTAAAATAAATTTTTATTGGAAATTTCCCCATTATCCTGACTTAGCAAAATGCACAGGACACATATGCATAATGTGAACCTATTTTACAGATTTCCAAGCAGTAGGGCATATGGGCTCTCATCCTTCCAAATCATTTTTTATTTCAATATTTCAGAGGCTATGAATTATGTACTCCTGAGGAATGCAGAGTAAGCTCTGATGAGAAATGTTAAGATTCAGGACGTGCCCACCCCAGAGGCCATGCAGAAGCCCTCCTTTGGGTCCTCTAAGGCCTGCGGTTTTGTGACTACCCGTGTGCAACTTCAAACTATACTCAGGCCCTTACTGGAATCCAGAGAAACCAAAACCCATCACACAAACTGAGGAAATCTCTAACTTAGATTTTGAGGGGAAAGTCAGCCAAACCATACAGAATATATGGAAAAAAAGATGCAATTATTATTTTCAAATACATTCAACAATCCTGATGGCAAGTATTTGCAAGCAAAGATCCCTGTAGGCATTCTTTAATGAATATCTGTAATTAAGGGTGTCAGATCAACCGCCTTTTGGTACACCTCACATTACTCTTTGTACTTTTAATGTGAAGGTTTGAACCAGAGGTGGCTAAGCCAATAAGGTCTGTTGGTAATTAGCATTTTTACAGAAATGGACTTTTGACTTAGCCACTTTAAGGGTAAGTACACTCTAAGTTGACAAAATTTGGGTTTGCTGTCTCTGCTGCTTTCTCTTACCTATCTGCCTCATCCCCTCAAGCCTGACTGGTTCTCTGTAAAGCAAAGATGATGCTGTGGTAAGGAATTAGGTGATCACTTGGGCCCCATTTTGGTTTACAACCATGCTTCAGCGGAGAAATTGAAAGGAGGTCAGGGTATAAACCTGTGTATCTCAAAGAGAAGAAGATACATAGAGAGGGAGGGAAGGTAGGAGGGCACAAAGTGATTTATGAAGAGTCTAAAAGTGAAGTTTAAGTCCAATTTACCCCCCTCTTTAAGACAGAGGGTTTAGGGCCTGAATACCTTTGATCTGGGGAAAGGACTTCATAGCATGTCTAGATTCATCTCATAGCCCTGACATCCCCCAGCAAGGGGGGATAGAAAGAAATGGTGAGAACAAAAAGAGTCTGAAGGAAAGTAGATGTTGGTGGCTATATCTAAACAAAGGGGCTATTATCTACACAGGTCAACCACACTGTGGTACTCAACCTAAGCCAGGGGTACCCAACACACAGGGTACCTGCAACACAGCTTCCTGGAGCTTCAAGTTTACTTAGAGCAGGGAGGGAAAGGTTAGGTCACTGAACTGACAGGTGATTTAAATCAAAACAATTTTACGTTAACACAAACATAGATAAATTATGGAATAGGATGAAACTTACTTTTTTTTTTTTTTTAAGATAAAACAACAACTATAGGGCCATTTTCCACCTTTGGTAGTGCTTAGGATCATGCCCCGCCTACCATATATCCCCATGGGCAGAAATCAGTTGGCCACTTCACTAGAGGCATTTTGGTGGGGAAATATGAGGGGCTCCGTGGTTAAGCAAGAAGCCTGTGTTCTGCTAAGAAATGTAATCATGTTCCTCATAAAGCACCAAGGAACATCTGCTGAGGCGTTCAAGCCCAGGAAGTACCTGGGGAAAAATGATTCTCGATTTGCTTTCCAAGTTGTGCAGGAAGGGAAGAGAAAAAGCACAGAAAACACAGCATCTGTTTGGAAAGTAAAAACAAGAGCCACCCCAAGCATCTAATGTGCAGTGATGACAGCAGTTTCTGGACTCCTTTTTCCTTCTCAAATAATAACTGACTTTGGGCTTGAAAGCACCCATTTCTGAGAAGGCATTCTCCCCCAAAGTCACAAAGGCATACCCCTGGGCTAGAAGAATCACATTTTCTAGCTGCCATATAAGAGAGAAACATCTTCTGCGTGGACTCTGGCTGAACAACTCTTACCTAAATCCAAACTTATCCATGGCTACAGAAATGTGCCGTGGCTGTGAAAAACACCTGTAGGTATTATGGTCATCCATTGGAATGAGGTCCACGTCGCTAAACACAAAGCAGTTGTAATCATAATCTTTCAAGGCCTCTTGAAAACCAACGTTGAGGAGCTTAGCACGATTGAACATGGAGTCTCCATCCTGGTGCAGAAACAAAGGAAGTGATGTCAGATGCCATAAGGCCAAGTATCTTCAAACAGAACACCCACAGGGATTGGTGACTTGTCACTAGTCATGGTCATTAGTCCACTCTTGGGCCTCACGTTTCTGCCCTCATTTTACAAATCAATACAAAACATCATACCCTTTGACCCAGCAATCCCACTTCTAGGAATTTATCCTGCAGTAAGACTTGCACATGTGAGAATGACATATGAACTATGCTGCTCACTGTGGGGTGCTCCTCATAGCAAACAATTATAAACAGTGATACATCACTAGGGAACTGGTTAAATAAAGCCTGGTACATCCATATAATGGTATCAAGCTGTTTAAAAAAAAAAGAGGGAAATGATCTTTAAGATACATTGTTAGGTGTAAAGGGCGTTAAAACACACACATCATTTATTATGCAATACACAGACTAACTCCAGGAAAGATAACCAGGAAATTGGTAACACTAGTTAGGTAAGTGGAGGACTTTCCACTTCTATCCTCTTTAAATGGTTGACTGTGGTTTGATTACCACACTGTGTGCTTTCCATGTCTCTGTCAGACACCAAATTAGGCACCAGAGGAATGTGGCAATCACAACTCAATTCCTGCCCTCAAAGGGCTCACAGTGTATGGGAAAGCAGTGTGATATAAGCTATGATAAAAACAGGGTGTCCGGGAGAGAAGAGAGACACCTGCTTCAGGGTGCTGGCCACCAGGTCCTGAAGCACCAAGTCTACTAGTGCAGAGGTATTTTATATTTTACTTATTTATTTTCAGTTTCCTCCACTAAAATTTAAGTTCAATGGAGGTTGGAATTTTTACTCAATGCCTTGAACACTACCTGGCACATAATAAGAGCTCAATAAATAGTTGCTGGATGAGTGAATGAATGAATGAGTAGACTGATGGATGAGTTTCAACATACGATGGCAGAAGGCAACCTTTTCTGGGAAGCTCCAACCAGAGGGCCTCCTCAGGGGTCACCACTATGGGTCTCTGCTCTTACCAACTCCCATGTCCCCAGGTCAGTGAAAACAGTAATAGCATTGACACTGCCATCCCTTACATCCAGCATTCACAAAGCCCTCCCATACACATGCTCTCACCCTGACTGGAATTCTCATCTGATGCTCTTGTCCAACTCTCTTGGGATTACCAAGATTATGGCCCTCTATCTGGGGGGAAAAAGCGGCCCACAAAGGCCTGTAATTGGTCCATGATCTCAAACCTGGGATGCAAAAAGTCCTCCCCCCATGACCCCAAGACAAGACTTGGAAATTGGTGCTCCACAAGGCTACCTGTGTGACTACAGACTGCATAGACCAGCCTCAGGCTGTTGACTCAGGGAAATAAACCATTTAAAGACAGGCAGGTTATCAGTAAGTCAGAAAAAGCAGCCAGGAGGAGAGTAAATGAATGAACGAAGCATCTTACACAAGAGCCCCTTTTCTTCAGCTCATGACAAAGTTTTCTAACCATGAATGGTAAAGGAGAAGCTGCGCCCACGGGCAAACTGTGTTCTTTGGCTGCCCCACCCATTACGAGTCAATTTAAAATTCTGCTTTCAGTGAACTCCGTTAAGTCAGGAGGCAAAAAGAAGTTCAGAGTTTAGAAACCACATATGGGAGCCTTTGAAAACTATTAAGTAGTTGCAATTATTATTGTTACAACAACAATGCCTTGCTAATATTCATTAGGGGATGATCACACACCAGGCAAAGTTGTGTTTTATGTACACGGTATATAATGTAATTCTCTCAACAATTTTGTAACAACCTTCACCTCAACCCAGATTCACTCTATTTACCCCTCAAAATCTTCTACCTTTTGGTGATGATAAAAAGGCTGTGCTGGGTGCTATCCATCTTGCTCCCCAAGTCCCATTAAGACCCTGGAAGAGTTAGCTTTCTCTGAACATTTTCAAGCACATTTCAGCCCCACTGAACAACTAGTTTCCAACAAGTTAAAAGGGAGGTGTCCCAACGGAGCCTTTTTACACTGTCTAGTAGACTTCCTGAGGGTGGCTGCCCAGCTCATGACAATTCTCGCCAGTCTTGGTACCCTCTCCAATAAAAGAAGCAGGGGGCTCTTGGTGGTCATGTCTATATCTGCTGGCATGGCTGTTTGATCTAAACAGATCCTGACTGAGCTGATCTACACAGTTTCCCTCTCCCAGGAACTGGGAATATGGAACTGTGAATGGGCACTTCTGGAGCCAAGTCTCATGAATGATAGCAGGCTGGAGGAGAAGATCAAGGAGCAAAATTGGTTCTACCCTGTGTCTTCCCCTCCCTCCTCTGGGATTACAGGAAAGCCCAGTCTTTTTAGCTAATTTTCTAGGCTTTTTTAGGTAACATGTTGTAGTACCTTGCGTACTCATCTTTCTGGATGAAGAGGAACAGAGCCTGGCACGTCTGCCAGTGCCCACTATTAACAGGAGGTGCTCTTCCTCTACAGGGGGTGGGGAAGACACCCAGCCCTCATTCCTGCTCCTCACTAGGCACATTTATCCTGTGCATCTGACACTTCATTCACTCAAGTAAACATTATCAAGTACCTACTGTCAAGCCAAGCCAAGTGCACAACTGCGACAGACACACGCATCTCTATCCTGGAGGACCAGCTTCCCCTACTTATTAGATATGTGGCTTTGGGCAAATAACATCTCTAGACCTCAATTTCCTCGTCTGTGCCATGGGCATGATAACATGTGGGTTTTGAGGATTAAATGAGACAATGCATGAAAAACCCTTAGCACACTGACAACAAATGTCAGCTACTATCATCATTACAGGAATAGGTTTCCTCATCCATCTGGAACAGTCAGACTTTTCAGAATGTCTCTTGGACTACTGGATGTAACACGATCCTCTTATGATGTATTTATGTGGGGGTGGAGTGGGGTAGGAGGACAGGGGTGAGTTTGCCAGCAAAGCCCACTCCACAAGATAGAAATCAGGCTCTAAGAGACAAGGCAGGTGGATATGCAGTGACTGGGCTAAATGAACTGATCAACGGAATCATAAAAGTTTAGGTCTACAATGTAGGTGTCACCAGCTAGAAGACTGGCACCTACTAGAATACTCCTGAGCCCTACAAGTGGCTTCCCAAGCCAGCTACAGTTACTAGTCCCTCATTTAGCTCCTATGCTCAGCTCCCTGTCCAAGAATCATGGGCTGTATGGGAAGGAAAAGAGCCTCCAGATTCCAGGGAGAGGAGATCCAGTACTAAAATAACCCCCACGAAAGTGGCTCCAGGATCACAAAAGTTCCAAGAGTAGGATGCAGACATTGATAATGACCCATCAGAATGATACCCTCTGGTCTTCGATGATAGGCATGACCCACTGAGCCTTTTAAGAGTTAAAATCAACACTCATGGACACAAAGCCAAAAGAGCCAGTGAACGAGGAGGCCCTGCATCCAACTCTGACTTCATCACTCAGGGAGCCAACCCAGAGATTCTGTCTTCTCTTGTGTTTGTGTCCTTCCCAATCAGCTTCAAGATTTCTCCCAAATTCTGTTCTTCTGATGGAGGAAGAATTCCGTAAGAAGATTAAGGCTTAAGTGGGTTAGCCTGTGGCTCACACACTGTAGCAGCAGCAGAACATCAGAGAGGCCTTTAGAGACCTGTGAAATGTATGTAGCTTGGAAAGTCACAGCTCAGTGAAGGGAGCCAGCATGCTGTGAGCAAGTGTTCCTCTGAAGACCCAGCTTTTTAAGTGCGGGCTTCATCTTATGTTGGTCAACAAGAATTACACTTATTCCTTCCTTCTAGGGCAACTGGCTCCTCATTACAGAGAGAGAGCACAGGAAAAAACTAAGGCCAAAAAGTATACAAAATTCCCAAATGACTGAGCAGAAGAAGCTGCATGAGAGAGACCAAAGAAAACAGACAGAAGGCAAGAATCAGACCAGACGCAGGCCCTGGAGTCAATGGGAGCAGAGTCAGGGGTGCCTAGGAACAGAGAATGTGTTCCACGTAGCGAGGAGGTCTGCTCCAGTCTCACTGTGTGCTTACGTCAAGGCCCAGGTGAGGGGAGCCAGTGCTAGAGAAGGATCCAGGAGCCTGGAATCTGACAGGCCTCAGTACTATCTGAGCTGGCATCTGGATCTTGGCTGAAGCTTCAAAGCCCAGAGCATGGCATTCCCACAGTTGGACAGGGCCGCCGTCTCATTGACCAAACCTCACAGAAAAGTCTGAAAGCCTTTTTGACTGGGTGTATGTTCCTGACAGTGGGTATACCAGTCAGTCAAGCAGAGCCAGACATTTCCAGAGAGGACAGGAGTCTGGGCTATTCAGGCATGCTGGCCTGGAGTAGAGTGAGCAGACTAGCAGGAGGCCTGGCACAGGCCCGCAGGCCAAGCTCCTCAGGACAGGAAAGAATCTACACTCAGACACTTCACACAGCACACTCAGTACCGTTCGGGCAGATCTGGGTGGCAGGGAGGGACACCTTAAGAAGCAGCAGATGGCTCGCCAGGGATTTTTTTTTTTAAAAGAGCTTTCATTTACAATAAAGATAAGAGAGAACAAGGACCACGTACTGTATAGTTCCATTTATATGAAATGTCCAGAACTGGCAAATCTATAGAGATAGAAAGTAGATTGGCAGTTGTCTAGGGTTGGGGTAAGAAGCCATGGTGGCACAATGGTTAAGCGCTCTGGGGCTAATTGAAAGGTTGGTGGTTCGAACTCACCAGCCGCTCCAAAGGAGAAAAGACATAGAGATCTGCTCCTGTAAAGATTCCAGCCTAGGAAACCCTATGGGGCAGCTCTATTCTGTCATATAGGGTCACTATGAGTCAGAATTGACTTAATGGCATACTACAACAACAGGGCTGGGGTGGGAGAGGATGGGGAGTTGGGAGATGACGGGGGTTTCTTTTTGGGACGATGAAAACATTCTAAAATTGTGGTGACAAACATGCCACTCTGAATACACTAAAAGCCACTGAATTGTACATTTTAAATAGGTGGATTGT